AAATTTCAGAGGAGGAAATTTCAGAGGAGGATTCAGGGGCCAGTCAAGGTCGCTTGGAGGACTGGTGAATCCTCACAGGGGCCCAGAGCCAGGATTCTAGAGGTGCCCAGAAAATCCGAAAGGGGGGTGTCAGCTGGTAGCATCAGGGCCGGAAAAAGATCCAACAATTGAGGTGAAAGTAAATAACCGACCATTGGAAGTAATGGCGGATAGCGGAGCGGCTTTCACCTGTGTTAGGCCTGAAGATGCTACACATCTTCCTATGTCCAATCAACTGATTCGGACAAGGGGGTTTGAGGGAGTGAAGCAGCTGATTCCTCTCACGGAACCAATTGAGCTCTGCTATAAAAATCAGAAAACTACAATACCCATATTGGTATCAGAACATACACCTATTGCTCTATTGGGAAGAGATGCTTTGTGTAGATTGAACTGCACAATAAAATGTACACCAGATGGCTGTCTGATAGAAGTGCCAAAAGAAATGGTCCACCAACTATTGATGACAACAGAGATGGAGTCCTCTGCAGTATTTTGGATTGGAAATCTCAGTGCAGATTTCTTGGAGCCGGCTAAGATATGGGAGAAATTCATTGTGGCGAACATGCCAGATGCGAAACTTCCAGAATATCCATTCCATTGTACGCTCAAGTATTTCAAGAATGCTGCCCAAGCAAACCCAGAGGAATGGTTGGCTCATCAACCAAAGGAAATTCAACTAAGCTCATGTTGCATAATTTTGGGACCACAAGGAGCGGCTATGAAGGTAAACACGGATGATTATCTGGAGAAAGAATTCAAAATTGAGAAGAGTGTGCCACATGTGACTTTGTTGGTTTCTGAAGACTATGAGCAGAAACACATAGGGGAAATGATGACAGAAGCAGAGGAAGCTGTTTTTGTACCGATGAAAGAGAATTTGGCAATTTGGAGGAGTACAGATCAGCGATTTGTCAAAATCATGATTTCAGCTAAAGGACAAGGACAGCCACAAGCTGTACGGATGACACATGAATCTATTTGTAGTGCCAAGATGGACTCAGATTCTATGAAAGAGGAGATGTTGCGAGAAGTTCCAGAATGTTTGTGGTCCCAACACAGTACCGATATTGGACTTGTGAAATCAGCCAAACCAGTGAAAGTAGAACTTCAACCAGGAGCTAGACCTCCTTGGAAGTATCAGTATCCATTGAAGGATGAAGCAATTCAAGGAATTTGAACCACAAATTGAAGGACTTTTGAAAGCAGGTGTTTTGAAGATGACAACAAATCCTCAGAGTAACACGCCTTTGTTGCCTGTGAAGAAACCTGATGAGACTTATCGTATGGTTCATGATTTGAGAGCAGTAAATGAAGTGGTAACTGATTTTCCAGCAGAAGTTCCGGATCCACATACTTTGTTAGCCCAAATTCCTTCTCAGGCAACACATTTCACGGGGTTAGATTTGTGTTTGTGCATTGTTTAGTGTTCCTCTTAGTGTAGAGAGTCAGGGTTTATTTGGATTCACATATAAAGGACAGTTCTATGAGTATGAGAGATTGAAGGATTTAAACACAGTCCTCATATTTTTAACAAAGTATTGAAAGACGATTTGGTAGGGATAGATCAGATATTGCAGAGTACTGTGATTCAATATGTCGACGATATTATGATCTGTTCACAAGATGAAGACACATGTCACAAAGACTCAATTAAATTGCTACAAATATTGGCAGAAAAGGGGCATAAGGCCTCACAAAAGAAGTTGCAATATTGCCAGGAGAAGGTTGTATATTTGGGTCAGACAATAACGCATGGACACAGAAGCATTTCTGATTGTCAATTGCAGGCTATTCGCAAGGCTCCAAAGCCCAGAACTGTCAGAGAGATGTTGACGTTTCTTGGTATTGCTGGTTATTCTTCAGCATGGGTTGAGGATTATTCTAGTTTGACGGGACCTTTGAGAGCTATGGTTAAGGATACCGGGAACGCTCAACTTCACAGCAATCTGTCCTGGACACAGGAAGGCCTTGTGGCATTTGAAACAATCAAACAGAGGTTACAGGAGGCACCAGCGCTCACACTACCAGACTACTCTAAGAATTTCTTGTTGTATGTGTCTAATTCCACTGGAGGTAAATATGCATGTGCAGTCCTTTGTCAGCCGACGGGTACAGGGTCGAATCCTCAACCTATTTCCTATTATTCGACTGCATATTCAGAAGTGGAATTAGGGCTACCACTGTGCTACAGAGCAATGGTTGGAGTTTATTTAATGTATGACAAAGCATCATCTGTTACGAGGGGTTACCCAGTGACAATTCTTACCCATCATAGTCTCAGGAATCTGCTGAACTATGGAAGATACACATTGACTATGCCAAGGCTTAGAGACTATCATAGGCTCTTAGGCTCTGGTAAGGTGTGATACGGTAAATCCATTCAAGAATTTGCCAACGTCAGAGGATGGTGAGCCACATGATTGTGTTCAAGAGGCAGAGAAATACTCAAGGCTTAGATCAGACTTGCAAGCCCTTCCACTACATGAGGCAGACCTGGAGTATTGGACTGATGGGTCTTGTTATCGTGTGGTAGATAAATTGTGTGCTGGCTATGCAGTAGTAAAAGCTCAAGGAACGGGATTTGTTGTTGAAAAAGCTGAAGTAATACCACAGCCTGCGTCTGCACAGCTTGCAGAACTTGTGGGGCTAACAGAAGCGTGTTTGTTAGCTGACGGGCAGCGAGTGACAATATATACTGATTCGGCATATGCACATAATGTATGTAATTTGTTTGGAGCAGTGTGGAAAGGTCGGGGGTTTAAGAAAACGGATGGTTCTCCGATACAACATCACGCACAAATAATAAAACTGTTGCGTGCTATGATGAGGCCTAAAGAGATAGCGATAGCTAAGTGTGCAGCTCATAAAACAGATGCGTCAAGAGTGACACAAGGAAACAAAGCTGCTGATGAAGCTGCAAAAGCTGTCACAGGAGCTGACAAATTGGGCAAGGTTTTTCTGGTCACTCATGGGGTGGACTTGGAAGACAGAATTACGCTTAAGGAAGTGATTTTGATGCAGTAAGCTGCTTCTATGATTGATAAACAGTTGTGGTTGGACCGAGGTGCTGTTAAGGATTCTACGGGTCTTTGGAGAAATCACGAGGGACTGATAGTAGCACCTCTGGACCTGTTAGGTTTGATGATTCAGGAAGCACATGGGTTAGCTCATGTTGCCAGGGGGCGAGGTTAGGAGAAAAATCACAAAGGAGTATGGTTTTTGGGCACCATATTTGCTTGAACAGATTGATTATGTCATAGGCAGGTGTACAATCTGTCTGAAAAATAATGTCCGCAGGGGTATGACTGTTCCTCCTGGTTACATTCCCACCCCAGGGGGTCCTATGCGTGAGTTAGTTGTTGACTTTGTCGATATGATAAAACCAGTTGAAGGGAAAAGATACATGCTAGTGGTTGTGGATAGATTTTCACGATGGCCGGAGGCCTGTCCAACCAAGCGGAAAGACGCTCAATCGGTTGCCAGGTTTTTGTGTAGAGAAGTCATAAGCAGGTGGGGACTTCCAGATCGAATATCATCAGATAATGGGAAAGAGTTTGTGGATAAAACAGTGAAATTGATTTAGCAAAAATTGGGAACTAAACAACATCTTGGAGCAGTTTATCACCCACAAAGTCAAAGGATTTGTGAAAAAATTAATGGGGATTTGCAAATGAAACTATACGAGGGTTTAATCTTCTGTCAAATACTCAAAGAAGTCACAGACTGACATTGTTGAAACATGACATGGCTCTTGACTATATTTTAGCCAAACAAGGTGGTTTAAGTGTGGCTATGAACTTGACGGGGGACGGTTGTTATACTTTGATCCCCGATAGTTCTGATAATATCACTAGTGTTATAGATGCATTAAAGAGTATACGGGATGCATTTGGTAAATCTGAGGGAGCTGGATGGTCAGCAAATGCTTAGTTACAAAATCAGTTAGGACCAGTGGGAGCAGTGGTGGTTCATATTTTGGTAGCAGCCTTTGTAGCGCTGTGTTTGATGTTTTGCTTTGGTACGGTGCTATTGACTTTTTGCGAAAGCTATGATATTGAGATGGGTTGGAGTAATAATGCCTAGGGAGAACACTTAGATGCCTTTTGTTAACTATGGCTGATTTAGATGGAGATGATGAAGTGGAACCAGATGAAGTAATGATGGAAAGATATCCATTTTAATGTTACTTTGTATTTCCATACATTGAGGTTTTAATTTTCATGTGTTATTTGCAACAAGATACTGGTTGGTGTTTTCTTTTCTTCCAGAGTATATGGGGATGTACAGATGGGGATTCAAATACTCAAACAAGGACAATATGAATGGACTCTGGACAAGGACGGTGTGGAAACGTCTGGATTGCATCGACACTGCTGAGGAGCTGCAGTGGAATACCTTCCTATGTCTACTTTGATATAGATATGAATACATATGTGAATGAATAATACTTACTTAACAATCATATTCTTTTTGTGTTAACTGTGTAAAGACTTGTACTTTCAGTTATGGGAGTTAATATTTGGGGACCTCAGGTTTTTTTCTTTTTCTTGATGCTTAGGGATATAGGGTCTAGGCAGGGAAAGGTCCGTTGGAGGGTCCGATGGGTTGACCAGCCTGAATTCGGACATTGTTTTGATTAGTTTTATTTCCTGAGGTTTTGACATGTATTGGCTAAACCGTATTTCTGCATTGACTGATAAAGATGTCGTTTATTAATTGGACTGGAGTACCATGCGTGGCCGCCTAAGGCAGAGGGGCCGTGAGAAAATTTTCCTGTCTAGATTGTCTTGGAGGGAATTTGGAATGAAGGCTGCCGGACAGGTTTTTCGTTCTCACACTCCATAAAGTTGATATGAGGGTGTCTGGACGTGATATTACCAAATATTTTAAATTCCTGCTGGTCATCACACAGAGAAGTGTCAGAAATGAACTAACAAGCTGTTGTCCATTTTGTCCAGTTCAGACTGAGCGATGGACTCTGAAGCCAGCGGGACGATTGAGGTGGCGGCGCTCTGCCGGCCTTTCAGCCTCGGGATGTTGTACGACTGCCGCAAAGACTCACTCATCCCTGGTAAGGATTCACATGTGAAGATACTTAAAACTTTCAGGATTTAAAGCCACATTCAACAACATTTTCATCTCAGATCATTTGATCACTTTTGCTTCTTTTTAATATCTGAACTCAGCAGATAAATCATGTGTCTCTTGTTCTGATAGAGATTACCAACATGTTTTGTTTTAAAGAATGTCAGGAAGAAGCTATTTTAATTTGTGAATTGATCCTCATTATAACACAGAAGAAGTTCTTATAGAAAAGCCAAAGTAGTGTTTCTCTGATTTTGTGTTTAAAAGCTAAGCTTTACTATCATGCAATAAAAGGCAGTTTGACTTCTCCTCTTCTTTTTGGCAGGCATTACGCTGTGGGACCGCAATGACCTGGAAAAAGATAAAGGAGAAAGACCAAAACCGAACACTGACTTTGACATTGTTGCATCTGAATCAATTGAGGACAAATCTTCAGCACTAAACGTTGAAGCTTCCCTGAAGGCAAGTTTCTTGAGTGGACTGGTTGAGGTTGATGGATCGGCCAAATACCTGAACGACAGTAAGATTTCCAAAAATCAGGCCAGAGTAACTCTGAAGTACAAGGCTACCACAAAGTTCCAGGAACTGTCGATGGATCACCTTGGAAGAGACAATGTGAAGCATCCATATGTCTTTGATAAAGGATTAGCAACACATGTAGTCACAGGTATTCTTTATGGGGCACAAGCCTTCTTTGTCTTTGACCGTGAGGTTTCTGAAGTGGAAGATCATCAAGACATTGAGGGGAACTTGAAGGTGATGATCAACAAGATTCCCAGTGTTGCTATAGAGGGTGAAGGTTCCCTGAAACTGGAAGACAAGGACAGAGCAAATGTTGAGAAATTCTCCTGCAGATTCTTTGGAGACTTTTCTCTTGAAAAAACTCCTGTGTCCTTTCAGGATGCAGTAGAAGTCTACCAAAGCCTGCCAAGATTACTGGGAGCCAACGGAGAAAAGGCTGTACCAATGAAAGTCTGGCTGTTGCCACTGACAAGTTTAGATTCTTCTGCTGCAAAACTGGTCCGTCAGATAAGTTTAGGATTAGTTCAGGAATCACAGAGAGTCCTGGAGGACTTCAGTGAGCTGGAAATGAGGTGCAATGACACAATGAGAACCACCACCGCACAGCAGTTCCCACAGATTGGCAAAAAGATTAAAACCTTTAAAGAGATGTGCTCTGAGTTCAAGCTGGGATTCCAACAAAACTTGGCAAAGAAACTTCCATCAATCCGAGGAGGAGGAGAAGAGGAGGCTGTGCTCGCAGAGATCCTGAAGAAGAGACATTCTTCTCCTTTCAACAGCAAAGACCTGAACGAGTGGATGGACTGTAAAGAGAGAGAAGTCTACACCTTAATGTCTTTAACCAACATGATGAAAAACACCAAGATCGTCCCCTCTCAGAATGTTCTTAGTAAAGAAACCCTCAGTGCAGACCATGCTGTGTGTTTTGTTTTCACCTCCCTGGTAAGTGCTGAACCGTACCTCTCAGCTTTATCTAACTACTTAAAACAAACACCCGAACCAGACGACCCTCAAGATGTAGAGAAGGAACATTGGTTCACCTCAAAAGAAATAACAGATGCAATGAGGAATAAAGCAACGCTCTTCAGTGACTTTGCAGAGGCCAACAAGGAGAACAAGAACATAAAGTTCCTGACAGTGGGATTAACAAATGAGACACAGAAAGGTTCAAGCATCTACCTTTATGAAGTCGGCTTTTCTGTCAATGAGAACTTTGAGCCGCCTTCAAAGCCTGAAACAGTAACAGCAAGTGACATAAAGCACAACAGTGTGACACTGAAGATTTCTGCGCCCAGATTTGGAGCAGAGAACATCACCTCCTACTCTGTAGAGTACTGTGTCAGAGGAGAGGATGGATGGCAACAAGAGACAGCATCAAAAGCTGGAGAAGTCACAGTGAGCCATCTGAGTCCTAACACAGAGTATATGTTCAGATGCAGAGCAGTGACCTCAGCAGGTGTTGGGCCGGCCAATGAAGTCAGTGGTTCCATTAAAACCTTACCTTGCAGCCCTCCTGGAAAACCTCAAGTTGAACCAAACTCACGTGAGATCTCAGTCAGCTGGAGAAACCTGCTGAGCTTGGACAAGATGTCCAGATTTTGAGCTACATCGTGGAGTACGCCAAAACAGACAACAGGGTGAAAGAGGAAGATCTCCAATGGAAGCAAATGATGTCGAGAGCTGAAAAGGCGATCATTTCAGGGCTTCAGCCAGAGACAGAATATGTTGTCAGGGTCAGATGTGACTGTGGTGCAGCTGGAAGAAGCAAGGAGAGCATCTCTGTTAATGTCTGCACAATGAAATTTAAACGGCTCACAGAACTCCTCAAAAGCAGAAGTGAAAGGATAAATTCTGAATCACCTTCAGTTTACAAACTGCCTCTGAAAGAAGAAGATACGGACATTGATGGATGTAGAAGATACAGTTTTGGCAAAGAAAGCACGAGGAAAAATCGCACAATAATGTTTTTTGGAGTGTCCGGATCTGGAAAGGCGACTCTGATCAATGGACTGATCAACTACATTGTTGGTGTCGAATGGGAGGATTCATATCGGTTTAAGTTAATTGATGAGGATCAGTCGACGTCACAGGCTGAAAGTCAGACCTCTGAAGTCACTGTGTACAAAATCAACCACCAGGAGGGTTTTAAAACAGAATACTCTCTGACCATTGTTGACACTCCAGAGTTTGGAGATACAAGAGGCTTAATAAGAGACAGACAGATCACAGAACAGCTGTGTAATCTCTTCTCTGCTGAGCTTGGTGTCAGTGAAATTGACGCTGTGTGTTTTGTAGCTCAGGCTTCTTTACCTCGACTCACGCCAACACAGAAATATGTGTTTGACTCCATACTCTCAATCTTTGGCAAAGATGTGGCAGAAAACATCAGGGTTCTGGTGACATTCGCAGACGGCCAGCGTCCACCAGTTCTAGAGGGAATCAATGCTTCAGGTGTCCCATGTCCTAAAACAAGAGACGGGCTGCCAGTTCACTTCAAATTCAATAACTCAGCTTTGTTTGCAGACAACAAATCATCTGCAGCAGGCAGCATGAGTGGGGATGATGAGGATGAAGATGGAGGCTTTGATCAGATGTTTTGGAACATGGGGATAAAAAGCATGAAGAGGTTCTTTGCTGCTTTGAATATCATAGAAACCAAAAGCTTGACGATGATGAAAGAGGTCCTCAGAGAAAGACAGCAGCTCGAGAATTCATTTAACAAATTTGCTGAAAAACTTCAAACTTGGTTTAAACAAACCTGAGAAGAATCAAGAGCCACGCCTGAAGAAAAACAAGGGCTTTTGGGAAGAGTTCAGATCCTGAAAGTAGTGAGTGGAGTGAAAGAACTAGACGACGATGATAATGATGATGAAGATGATGTTAATAATGAAGAAGATATTTATAAAAATTATGATGATGTCAGCATCTTGAATATGGTGACATCATGTTTATTTCTATTAGAGAATGCACAAGATGAAGAACTTGATGTTAGTGGAATCTTCTTGTTGAAGAAGATAATGATGAAGAAGATGATTATGTCAGCACCTTGAAGATGGTGACATCATGTTTCTCTTTATCAGAGAAAGTACATGATAAAGAACTTGATGTTGGTGCAATCCTCTTGTTGAAGAAGAAGATGATAATGTTTGGATTTAGGAGGATTTATTGACAGAAATGCAATATAAGATCCATAACTATGTTTTCAGTGGTGTATAAAGACCTTACATAATAAACCGTTATGTTTTTATTACCTTAGAATGAGACATTTCTATCTACAGACACCGCGGGTCCTCTTACATGGACGCCGTCTTGTTTCTACAGTAGCCTGAACAGACAAACGACTCTACGGAGCGTGTTTCGTCACTTTGTTTAATACATACAAAGAAGAAGGAAGAAGAAGAAGTAATAGTTGTAGTAGTAGTAAAGCGCTCAGAGATAACTGTTGTGATTTGGCGCTATGTAAATAAAATTGAACTGAAATTGTTAGAGCCGCTGGTAGCAGCCGTGTGTTTTGGTTACTGTCCATGTGTTTTCCCAGTATGCTAAGCAGGTTGTGCAATCCCCGGCTGAGGATTGGCTGGTTTCGGTGAGGAACCGGTAGTATGTATATTGTTCGCTGGTTGCAGCAGCTTCACTTCTGTGGCCTGTTTGTGTTTGTTACTGTTATTACTGAGAGTCAGTATTTATTTTGTTGAGAGTAGTCTTTGTGTTAGCTGTTTAGCTAAAGACTCTGTTGCAGCAGTTTATTTCACTACTGAGAGTCAGTAAGTGTTTATTTTTGTTAAGAGACACCCTTGAGTTAGTTTGTGTTTAACCGTGTGTCTGCAGAGTTGGGCTAGGTTTTAGAGTAAGTACTTTTTGAGTTAGTAATCCCTGTTTTGGAGGGATCTCTTTTTGTTATCTTGAGTTTATGTTATCACAGCACCCACTTGCCCAACTTTAGTTTGTTAAAACCTTAAACTTTTCCACCATACCAAGTGCATCTGGTTTATGCATACATCCCCTTTCCCCTAGTGAGCTGGGACGTAACAAAATTGAATAGTAGTGGTAGTAGTAGTATTATTTGGACAAATGGAACACCGCATGTATTATTTAGCACACGAGCCGACAGAGCTTGTCACCACTGTAGCTCCTCCTTTGAGCTTACAAAGGGAGGGGTGAGCGGTGACTGAGCCGTTGGTTGCAATTCACAACCCTCACCACTAGATGCCACTAAAACTTACACAGTGAACCTTTCTGCCCTGCTGGGGAAATGTTTCACTCCTCTCCAGCTACCAGTCCACACTCCGTACTGACTTCATACTGGACTTCAAACAGCATCCCTCCAGTTCCCAAGCTAAGGGACCCCACGGACCCCAAAAGCTGAGTACATGGCTAACACAGGAGTGGAACTTCTCCAGCTTCCATAGTGATCAGGAAGATTTTTGTGACACAGATAAAAAAGAACCAAACAGGACAGAGAGTGATGTACTGAGACAGAGTCTCCATACTGAGACACCGACACTTCAGTTATTCTAACCAACAAAAGTAGAAATGTGTTCGACATAAAGAGAGAAGCTGCTAACTCGTTTGTACAAACATATTCCAGCAGGAGTTATCTGCAGAAAATCTCAGATTTTCCGTGTGTGCTGATAAATGTTTGAGTGTGCTGGAAGCATTAACTGGACAACTTCCTGCCACCATTAACACCAGTGTCACAGTTTAAACCTGCAGCTTTATTAACTCAGCAAACCTGAACACTGAGAATTAAATAGTATTCATATTTTATCTATTTTTTCAATCTAAAAATAACTGCTCATAAAAAGCATTTAGATATATAGATTTACATTGTTCAGTACAGCTTTGTAAACAGGAATATCAGCTTCTTGCTCAGATTTAAAGTTTTACTGGGATGGTTGATTTGACCTTTCTGCATTCTGATATGTATCATTTACTTTGTGTACTTATATTCATCTTACTGTCCACTATGTGTACCAGTGTTTCAGCTATAATGAACATCTGTGAGATAGTTTTATCTTCTGCCTACTGTTCCTGTGAGAACTATCATAGTATTAAGGTATCAAGGCTGAGAACAGCTTTCTCGTAGACTCCACAGTTATCTCCTGCATTAAATCCCTGAGTTATCCTTTCCTCTGGACCAGAGTATGTGTATAAATAAATAAATGTTATTATTCGAAGTGTTGTCTGTCGTCCTCTGATGTGTCAGAGTCGCCTTCTTTACCTTCTGCAGCTTCGTTTTCTCTTTCAGGTCAGATGTTACACTGCTGACATCCACTTTATCCATCATGCAGCAGTGCTGGGAAGTAACTAAGTACATTTACTGCACTGAAGTACAGTTTTGAGGTCCTTTTACTTTACTTTTTTTCCATTTTATGTTACTTTGTGTGTAGTTTTTAGCTTTAGTTACAATTTACTTTACAGATTGAGAAGATATATAAAAACATATTTTTAAAGATTAAACCAAATCCAACTTTTTTGACTTGTGGCCTCTCACAAAATTCAGTGTCTGTTTGAGGCCCCAGGGGGACGGTTGCAGCTCTCCTTCCTGCAGTTGTGGAGTGGATACAACAATCAGTAATAAGGCTCAGTGTTTTTTTTATTTCCCCCCCTTTGGTAACGTGTCTGAACACTGAGAGGTGGAGCAACACTGAAAGAGGAAAAATCACATTCCTCAATGAAAGTGAAAGTTAGTCTGAGAGACTGCAGAGCTGCAGTCGAGTCGAGTCTCTCTGTTTCTCTCGTTTGAAAATTCAACTGAATCAACAGGTTTTCCTCAACAAAACATCAGAATCTCTGACAAACACCGGTGAGTACAAATTCAATAAAAACTAGAATCTGACTTTGTTACATCTAAAAATATTACACCAGATAAAAATGTGTCATTTTTAATTAAACAACATTTATAGATAATATAGAAACAATATAACAGATAAAAACCAAACCAAAGTGACTGAAGTCACAGTGAGCCTTAGTTTAAGATGGTTAATCCGCTTTCTTCGACCTGTTTCCTGTTACTTTGATTGTATTTAGTGACTGATTTTAATGAGTTGAAAATATGCTTTAAAGGAGCGTTTGTCTGTTTAAGATAAAAAAACAACTGTTGTTTATGTCTGAAATAAACTGAGCAACAAGTAATTAAAATAAGAAGAAAACCCATTTGCAAACAACAGGCCCACCATTGGTGAAGTGTCTGGACACTGAAAGGTGCAGAAACACTGAACACATTCCTCAGTGAAAACGTGTTTGAAAGTTTGTCTGTCAGACTGCAGAGCTGCAGTCAAGCACAGTTTCTCTGTTTCTCTCTGACACTACTGCCCTAGAAAGACTAAATGCAGAAACTGTCAAAGTAAGTAGCTGCATTTAAAACATTTAAGTATCAAAAGTAAAATGTATTATTGGTCATGAGGGGTGGTGATGGAACAGTGGATAAGTGTTATATAATAGCAACAATCATAATGTATTTGATCAATACATTAATGTATTCAGGCAATTCAGTATTCTGTTGCTTGGCTGTGTGAAGCTGTTGGCTACTCATTTGGAATCTTGCTTGTGAAACAAAAAGTAAAAGTATTTAAAGAAATGTATAGAATTATGCCTGCAGCCCCTGCCCACCAAAATGTCGTCCTTGCGTCGGTCTACAGGTCACACTTTTTCTGAGAAATCAGCCTGACTCTCTTCTGCTTCTACTTCTGTCAATGAATAAAGATCAGATGTTGTTTTTTCCTCAGACACAAAAGCAGAAACCACAGAACAGCCTCAGAGGATCAGAAACGTTTCTACTGTAAGCATCCTGATGCTGTTTTGAAACTGAAGATTTTACAGAAGAAAGTCATACGTGCCATATCATGGTCCAAAGTAAATGACTGTATTCTGATTTACTTTCCCTGCAATAAATACAAGACCAGAAAAAAGCTCTTAGAAAGGGCAGACGTAAACTTGTATATATTTTTATATTTTTTGTTGGTTTCAGTTTAAGTTGTTTTAGCTTTTAGTGTCTTAGGGTCATTGCTTAGTCTGAGGTGGGTTGTTACAGTATAATATGTGCACAAATGTAGACGTGTTAGTAAATTTATATATTAAATACTATCTGCTTATTGTCTGGCCCCCTTTTCTCAAGCTTCGGAGAGCTCATCAGGGTGTCCCATTTCACATATCTCCATTATGTCATATGATTTACTTGTATTTTAACTGGCCGTCTTACTTGTATTAGGATAGAGAGGCCCAACTTTGGAAATTGTTTTAAATCTTTTTAATAATGCAAGAGATGGAATATTTTGTCACCCAGATGTTTAGAGAGTCTTTGAGAATTCAGATCTCATATCTTCAAAACAGCGGAAAGCAAAGTTTAACAACATATTTGTTTTTTTAGAAAATCAGACACTTAGCTCTGTGAGTTGAATGTACCATACATGGGGCTAGACCACGATCCAGCTAACTAAATCGTCGTTTGTAGGTTTAGGCTGAACAACTTGTTGGTACAGATACATTCGAATCCAGCTTTTATTGAATTGACATATCCAGCCTCAACAATCAGACCAAGCTAACACACATATGAACAATACTAATAATAATATGTTTATTTGTTAAGCACTTTTCAGTAAATTTACATTTATTAATTTAGCGACGCTTTTATCTAAAGCGAATTACAATTGCTATACATGTCAGAGGTCGCACGCCTCTGGAGCAACGAGGGGTGAGTGTCTTGCTCAGGGACACATTGGTGTCTCACAGTGGATTTGAAGCCGAGTCTGTCACACCAGAGGCATGTGTCTTATCCACTGCTCCATCACCAGCCTGTTTTGAAAAGTGTGTTTTATCTATGTTTATAAGAAAATACAGTAGCTGTGGATTGTTAATGTTAATTCATTTAACAGTTTAAGCACCTTGAAAGCAAAGTCATCTTAGGACCTCCGAGACGAAGCCTTGTACATAAAGGCTTTACTTATGAAACAATAGCAGTATTGTGTCCACTAATTATGTCTCCAAAGGAAAGCTTGAACAGAACAAAGCAAGGATGTATCAAGACGTGTATCAGATGTGCGGACACACCCTCTTATCTATGTTCTTTCCACACAAACAGTTTTCCTGTTCTAGTTACTTATTAAAGGTGATTACACTGCATGACCTGAGATTAAAGGAAGAAACACTTTGTGCACAGGCTACAGTCACAAATGACAGAGCAGGCTGAAAGAGGGACAAAGGTCATAGGTCCATGATGCTTATTCTGCCGCTCACAAAGCTTTAATGCTTCTCCATGGTTAAGTAGGCTACGCAGATAAATTGTCTGTTTTAACTCTGTTTATTGTTGATACACGATCAGAAGTCTGCACAGGATGTTTTATTTTGAAAATCGTGCCAATCTTGTCTCATGTTGTAATGCTCCATGACATGTTTTATCTATTACACAATAGATTTCCAAGAGCAAATGTTCTTAATAAGAAGTTCGTTATCTCTCCCTTAAACAGCCTCACTCGATTCGTCAACAATGAAATTTCACGTCAACAAATTTTTATCGTCGATTACGTCAACTAATCCTTGCAGCCCTATTCGTTTCCTCAGTAAACACTTTCCTGATGAGTTTCTGGTCTCAGTCGCTAGTTTCAAGTCTTCTTCAACACAGCATGATGTTCATTTAGTAAATTATGGTCCCATTTAGAGGAACAGAGACCAGGAAGCAGGGAGGCTTTAGGGCGGGACAATGTTGTGATTGACAAGTTGCTACCATGGCAACCTGTCAGGCGTGGAAATGCGTATCCCTCCCCAGTTCCCCCTCTCATCCAAATATGGTCACTTCTGGTTCCAAAACAACTGGTGACAACCAATCGGTACGTCTCGAGGTTTGGAAATTTGTTGTTGTTGTTTTTTTTCACCAGATTTTGAACAACTCTCACCTGATGGACACAAACTTTGTGTTAAGTCCTGCCCCCTTACTCTGCCTGTGATTGGCTAACCCTAACCCTTGAAAAAATGTACGCCTTCAAAACGCCAGTCCACAGACCAGTGGGTGACATCATGGTGGCTACGTCCACTTCTTTATACAGTCTATGTTAGCGGCTCTGTCCTGATCTTTAATGGGTTTAGGGAAGTGACTCCTTCCTGCTTTCTTACAGTGCAGACGCTGCTTGCTCTTGCCTCTCCTTGCATTCTTTTGCTTAAACTCTCTTTTTTGTTTTTCGTGCTAGAAATCAGCAGCTCTTGGATACTTTTAAATCACTGGGACTGTCAGATAAAGTTGGCTCTTGCCATACTTTAAAACCTTTTATGATCTTAGTGCTACGCGAGTGCGGCCTATCAATAGCACTAGCCTGTACTGCAGTGACTGGAGTTATAGCTAATGCTAATTAGCAACAAGATGCCCCCCTTCTCCACGGACGACTTCTACAAACTTCTACAGAAAATTGCAGTGCTGGAAACCAAGATCCACAGGTTGGAAGTGAATGTGGAAGTGAATGGACTATGAGGGAATGACACCACTTTACCGTGGACCTAAAACAGTGGACAAGAGCATGCTAACACACGCTAATTAGCACCAACAAGGCTACCAAGAAGCAGGAGGCCTGTGTACGGGGTAATAAATCTGAAAGTGGGAGTCCTCCCTGGAACTCGAGAGAACCAGTAACAGGCAGAACCCAGCGCCCTGAGATTTGTGATGCGACTGGCTGGCCTGCATTATCATCCAGGCAGAACGCCTCTTCAACCCCTGTTCTTGGTAGGACACAGCTGTGGACAGCTGCGAAAGGGAGAGTTAGCAACAAACCTCCCCAACAACCGAGTGTGCAACAGCAGAACAGATTTTCACCACTATTGCAGGAACCTGGATCTCCGTCTGATGACCTGGATAACATCCTGTCCTCACACAGAAGGGTAAGGACTGAGAGCAAATCAGAAAGTAAAAGGCTGCAGGGAAAGCTAACGACTGGGCCTCAAACTCTGATTGTGGGTGACTCTGCCGTAAACGATGTAAGAAGCATGTGCAGTAAGAACACCAAAGTACTCTGCTTTCCGAAGGATACGGTGTCTGACTTGGCAGAAAGAATCCTGCATATCGTGGCTGAACATCCTGTTGTGAAAAACATCATACTGCACATCGGGACCAATGATGTTGTGAAACAGTCTGAAGTGTTGAAAGAGGATTTTAATAATCTGTTGAACACAGTCAGCTCTCTGAATGCTGAGGTGTTTATCAGTGGCCCTATACCGCCAATCCGAAGAGGAGCTGAGAGATTCAGCAGATTGATGGCTTTGAACACGTGGCTCTCAACACATGTACTGTCCATTCAGTGCATTTCATCGAAAACTTTCACTTTCTGTGGGACCGCAGGCATCTTTTTAAGGCAGATGGACTTTGCCTTAACAAGTCAGGAGTAAAATTGTTCAGCTCCAAACTGTTTTACTTTCTGCATCACTCATCTGTTCCCTCTGCCAAGGACAAGAGACAAGAGGAATCTAAACAAGAAGAAGACACAACACAACACGCCAGAAACCTTGAAGGAGAGCCACCTCAGCCCCCGCCGGAAGAGAGCTCTGATCACTGGAGACATCTGAGCCAAGAGGAAGAGTCTCCACCTCCCTCACTGAAAACCGACAGTGAGGATTCAACATCTCTATCCCCCCAATCCCCACCTTCAGACACACTTTCTCTCCTCTCCCCCCTGTTGGACTTCACTGATCACATGGAAGATCTGGTTAGAGCTGGGACCAAATTTACTCCCCGCCCTTCCCTCGCTCCACTCCCATTTTCTCTACCCTAAACCCCCCTCACCGTCCACCTCCACCTCTGGTTCTAAGTCCTCCAGGTTTGACACATCTGTCAAAAGTACAGCGCCCAACCCGTCCTCCCGCTCCACAATGGCGAAAAAGCCCAGTAAGCTCTGTCTGATATGTGCTGGGTCCAGGCTACAAGGAAAATAGCACTCATGACTCTTCCCAGGACAAGCCGGGGCCCAGTGTGCAGGTAGTCTTCTCCATCCCTGTCTTGACAGGTAACAGAAAAAGCACGGTGAATGTGTTAAGAAACAGGAAGCACTCAACATATCCTGCACATTTAGTATTAATTCCTGTCAGCCGCAGCCTGTCAAAAAGTGGGCCAGATAACGTTTTTAACACACTAAAATTAGCTTTGTTAAACGTTAGGTCTTTGGCAGGAAAAACATTTTAAATCAATGATTTTATAATAACTCACAATCTTAATTTCATGTTTTTAACTTAAACTTGGTTGGACCAAGATAACAGTGCAGCTGTCCTTATCGAGTCTACCCCTCCCAACTTCAGTTTATAGTGAAGCTAGAGTCCATAAGAGGGGAGGTGGAGTTGCCATTTAGTTTAATGACTCCCTCCAATGCAAAAAGATGTCTTATGGGAATTTTGATTCTTTTGAATATGTGGCTCTAAAGCTGAATTCCTCTTCTCGAGCAATTTTTCTAAATATCTACAGGCCCCCTAAATACTGTGCAAACTTTTTTGATGAATTTGGTGAACTGCTGTCTATAATCTGTATTGACTTTGACTGTGTGGTTATTGTTGGGGATTTTAACATCCATGTTGACAACCCCCAGGACAGAGGGACTAAAGAACTACATGTGACGAGGCACACACACAATAAGGGGCACACTTTGGACTTGGTCATCTCCAAGGGTCTGGACATTTCCAAGGTTGTGGTGACTGATGTTGCTCTCTCTGATCATTCCTGTGTTTTCTTTGAGAGTGCTGTCTGCGTGCACACAAATGTACAAACAGAGGTGATCACAAAACGGCATATCACTGAAAACACTTGTAGATGATTTCAATTCTAAAATTACAAATGTTATTGATGCCATTGCACCAGCCAAGGTGAAGGTGGTCTCTGGTAAGAGAAGATCTCCATGGAGAAATGCCACGCTGGTTAGAAACTCAAAAAAGAGAGCGTCGAAAAGCTGAACGCAGGTGGCGGAAAACAAATCTCCAGGTTCATTATGACATCTATAAAGAGAGACTTCACATTTATAATTTAGAGCTGAGAAATGCAAGGCGGTCCTTCTTCTCTGACATCATCACCAAAAACATTAATAATGCACGTGCCCTGTTTGCTGCTGTGGACAGGCTAACCAACCCTCCTGTGTCTGTAGCCTCTGACCTTCTATCCACCAGGGCCTGCAATGAATTTGCTTCCTTCTTCACAGACAAAATTCAAAACAATGAGACAAGCAATCAGTGCCTCCATGTCAGTAACAGGATATGTCTTGTCCCTGTGTCCACTGAAAAACAATTCATATAGCATGAGACAATTTGATTCTATTAACCATAAAAACCTGGAGGACATAATACAACATCTGAAATCCTCCTCACGCTGCCTTGACATTCTGCCAACAGGTTTTTTCTAAAATGTTTCTAAATGCATGGTCTCAGATTTACTACAAATTGTCAACATGTCTCTCCTCTCAGGTTTTTTCCCACAGGCCCTGAAAACGGCAGTCATTACGCCACTCTTAAAAAAAGAGCAATCTAGACAGGTCACTAATGAGCAATTATAGGCCCATATCAAACTCCCCTGTTTTTCAACAGCTTAGTGCTTTCTTGGCACTAAATAACTGTTTTGATGTCTTCCAGTCAGGTTTTCGACCACACCACAGCACTGAGACGGCTTTTGTTAGGGTCTTCAATGACATCCATTTAAACACTGACAGTGGCAGAATTTCAGTCTTAGTATTATTGGATCTCAGTGCTGCATTCAACACGGTCGACCACAACATATTACTAGACAGACTTGAAAACTGTGTTGGACTTTCTGGCACAGTACTAAACTGGTTTGAATCCTATTTAAAGGACAGGGACTACTTTGTGTCTATAGGTAATCACACATCTGAGCTGACAAAAATGACATGTGGAGTTCCCCAAGGCTCCATTTTGGGACCTCTTGTGTTTAACATTTACATGCTTCCACTGGCTCAGATTATGAAAAACAACAAAATATGTTACCATAATTATGCAGATGACACACAGATTTACATTTACCATTTCACCAGGGGACTATGATCCCATACAGGCGCTGAGTAACTGTATTGAGCAGGTCAATGATTAGATGTGCCAGAATTTGCTTCAGTTAAACAAGGATAAAACTGAAGTTATTGTTTTTGGAGCCAGGGAGAAACGATTGAAAGTCAGTGCTCGACTTCAATCTGTAATGTTAAGAACCACAAATCAAGCCAGAAATCTTGGTGTGGTTATGGACTCAGACCTGAATTTGAGGAGCCACATTAAGACAATTACAAAGTCAGCCTACTATCACCTGAAGAATATATCAAGGATTAAAGGACTTATGTCTCAGCAGGACCTGGAAAAGCTTATCCATGCATTTATCTTCAGTCGACTCGACTACTGTAACAGTGTCCTTACAGGGCTCCCTAAGAAATCCATTAGACAGCTGCAGCTGATACAGAAGGATGCTGCTTGAGTCCTCACTAAGACCAAAAAGGTGGATCACATCACTCCAGTTCTGATGTCTTTACATTGGCTTCCTGTATGTCAAAGAATTTATTTCAAAATCCTGCTGTTAGTTTATAAAGCACTAAATGGTTTAGGGCCAAAATACATTTCCGATCTTCTGCTTCGTTATGAACCATCCAGACCTCTCAGGTCGTCTGGGACCAGGTCTGCTTTCTGTCCCCAGAATCAAATCTAAACAAGGAGAAGCAGCGTTCAGTTATTATGCTCCGTATATCTGGAACAAACTCCCAGATAACTGCAGGTCTGCTGAAACAGTCAGTTCTTTTAAATTAAGGCTGAAGACTTTTCTTTACACTGCACTGTAACTTTTACTGTCCTGTTTTCTATTTCTTTGTTTTTAGCTTTTAATCATTGCTTTTTTCCATTTAACTCTTTTAACCCTGATTGTAACACTGTAACTTTTATTATATTTTATGTTGCTTTTAAACTTTTTTATATTTCCCTGTTGCTTCTATGTTTTATTATAGCACTTTGAATGACCTTGTTGTTAAAATGTGTTATACAAATAAACTTGCCTTGCCTTGCCTTGCCTTACACTCCAGCATCCATAGCAATCATTATCTGCACAAACAGTGAAACACGTCAGTTACCTCTAAAAGCCTTTTCTCTTTGTCTCTTTGGCGATCAGTAGAATCCCTTCCGTGCTGCTGTTAGAACTCAACTGATGATGTGAATCAGCCTTCAGGCTCCATTGTTGGGACTTCAGTCTGCAGCTGCAGAAACAACTTCCAACTGCCTGAAATGTACTGAAACCAAACAGGTAGGTGTTCTGATTTAAAGCAGCAGTCGATAACAATTGAACATACAACGCAAAACGTTCCTCGCATCAGTCTGCTAAGCCCCGCCCACCAAACTCACAAAACTAACTGGGGGCCCACGGTCTTCATCGCCAAGACCATGTTCCATTTTGCTTTGATTCTCCTCAAAGACGCCCCCTCCGGCCTAGGGCTGAGTGTCGCAGGCTACAAGAGGCAGCTATCCAATGTCTAACGGGGTAAGAGCTAGTTCACCACTGCCTCCCCTCCCCCCTCAAAAGTTATTCCCCAAGCTATTATTACCAGCGCCATGGCATCGGACATTGTGAGCCAAAGTGTGAACTCATCTGTCTTTGTGAGACTGGAAAAATAGAGTTAACCGAGTTACCCAAAAGTTAGCTGGCTAACCCACTGATCCTGTGAGAGGACAATTATATTTAACCACATGGTACCTGCCACCTATTTCCACAAAAAACGCAAATAACATACCCAAAGTAAATCAGTAATAACTCCTCAACCATTAGGTATGGTGCATAATTCTGGTCTCCTTTGAAAGGTCAGAGGAATATGAATCAACTGAACCTATTTATTTTTCTATTAAAGAGTAAATGGAGATGCAATATAGGAAAATCTATTTTCATCCCCGCCTGGTAAAAAAGCTATATTTTTTATGCAATAAACCATCAAAATCATCATCCAACTCATTATAATGCAACTGAATATCTTCTAATTTGATGAAAAGAAACTAATATGCAACAGTAATTACACAGTATTTTAAAAATATACCAGGCGAATGTTCATGTTTTGTCCATATTACTGTTTATATGTTCACTTTTATTGGGAGTTTTCTTCAAAACACTATTTCTCTCCATACAACCACGTTCCAAATAACATAAAGCTTCTAAAACACTGCAATACTGATAAAAACAGTGAATATTGATCAACATTCCTATGACCGAAAGAACTCCCATGCTTTACAGGTGCACAAGTTGAAAACAGAACAGGGCAAGTAAATGGGCTCTTTCTCTTTGTATTGAAGAGACAAGTGGATTGGTATACTGCATGTCTGTGTAGCTCCTACGGGTCGGCCAGTAGAGGCCAATAAAGACCGCCTCCCCCAAAGTAACTCTTCTGCTCTCCTTCAATTTGATGACAGAAACGAAATTTAGCAGCTCACGGACCTCACCAAGATGGCGGCACGCGGCGTAGGGCTCTATTGACACAGAATAACAGCGGTTGTTGTTATTAGTTGGCTAATTACTTGAGTAATTTGAGCAGAACAGAGCAGAAGCTGAGCTTTCTTTAGAGTGGTCGGACTGCGGTGTGGGATGAGAGGAGAGGCACATGGAAAGCAACTTGAACATGAAATAAGTTTCATCCTTAAGTTGATATATAGAACTTGTGATCAAACAGCAGCTTATTTCCACCTCCAGCAGCTACAGAGTAACATGATGCTTCATGTGGAGTCATGTTTGTCTCTGATAGCTCTGTGTTCGGTCTCCAGCAGCTCCTGAGGGAAATATCTGGCTCTATCGCTGCTAAATGCTGCACTGTGTTCACCAGATGCTCTCTAACTGTGTCTATCTGCTGTTTGTTTCTATCTGCTGAAAGTCCCGATAAAGTTCCATAAAGCAGAGAAGTTGCAGATTCAGCTGATAATTCAGAGACACCGACACATTATTCCATTGTTTTCACATTATAAAAAATGCATTATAGTTGCTTTAAATGCAAAAACAATGTTTGTTGTTTTATATGAAAGTTTCCTTTAACTTAAAATTAAATGAGAGAAAAGGTCAAAATTAAAGTGAAAATGTGAGGGTGTCTGGACGTGATATTACCAAATATTTTAAATTCCTGCTGTGGCCATCACACAGAGAAGTGTCAGAGAAATGAACTAACAAGCTGTTGTCCATTTTGTCCAGTTCAGACTGAGCGATGGCCTCTGAAGCCGGCGGGACGATGGAGGTGGCGGCGCTCGGCCGGCCTTTCAGCCTCGGGATGTTGTACGACTGCCGCAAAGACTCATCGTCCCTGGTAAGGATTCACATGTGAAGATACTTAAAACTTTCAGGATTTAAAGCCACATTCAACAAATTTTCATCTCAGATCGTTTGATCACTTTTGCTTCATTTTAATTATCTGAAAATCATGTGTCTCTTGTTCTGATAGAGATTACCAACATGTTTTGTTTTAAAGCATGTCAGGAAGAAGCTATTTTAATTTGTGAATTGATCCTCTTTATAACACAGAAGAAGTTCTTATAGAAAAGCCAAAGTAGTGTTTCTCTGATTTTGTGTCTAAAAGCTATGCTTTACTATCATGCAATAAAAGGCAGTTTGACTTCTCCTCTTCTTTTTGGCAGGCATTACGCTGTGGGACCGCAATGACCTGGAAAAAGATAAAGGAAAGACCAAAAGACCAAAACCGAACACTGACTTTGAGATCGTTGCATCTGAATCAATTGAGGACAAATCTTCAGCTCTAAATGTTGAAGCTTCCCTGAAGGCAAGTTTCTTGAGTGGACTGGTTGAGGTTGATGGATCGGCTAAATACCTGAATGACAGTAAGATTTCCAAAAATCAGGCCAGAGTAACTCTGAAGTACAAGGCTACCACAAAGTTCCAGGAACTGTCAATGGATCACCTTGGAAGAGACAATATGAAGCATTCATATGTCTTTGATAAAGGATTAGCAACACATGTAGTCACAGCCATTCTTTATGGGGCACAAGCCTTCTTTGTCTTTGACCGTGAGGTGTCTAAAAAAGAAGATCATCAAGACATTGAGGGGAACTTGAAGGTGATGATCAAGAAGTTTCCCAGTGTCGCATAGATGGTGAAGGTTCCCTGAAACTGGAAGACAAGGACAGAGCAAATGTTGAGAAATTCTCTGCAGATTCTTTGGAGACTTTGCTCTTGAAAAAAGTCCTGTGTCCTTTCAGGATGCAGTAGAAGTCTACCAAAGCCTGCCAAGATTACTGGGAGCCAACGGAGAAAAGGCTGTACCAATGAAAGTCTGGCTGTTGCCACTGACAAGTTTAGATTCTTCTGCTGCAAAACTGGTCCGTCAGATAAGTATAGGATTAGTTCAGGAATCACAGAGAGTCCTGGAGGACTTCAGTGAGCTGGAAATGAGGTGCAATGACACAATGAGAACCACCACCGCACAGCAGTTCCCACAGATTGGCAAAAAGATTAAAAGCTTTAAAGAGATGTGCTCTGAGTTCAAGCTGGGATTCCAACAAAATCTGGCAAAGAAACTTCCATCAATCCGAGGAGGAGGAGAAGAGGAGGCTGTGCTCGCAGAGATCCTGAAGAAGAGACATTCTTCTCCTTTCAACAGCAAAGACCTGAACGAGTGGTTGGACTGTAAAGAGAGAGAAGTCTACACCTTAATGTCTTTAACCAACATGATGAAAAACACCAAGATCGTCCCCTCTCAGAATGTTCTTAGTGAAGAAACCCTCAGTGCAGACCATGCTGTGTGTTTTGTTTTCACCTCCCTGGGAAGTGCTGAACCGTACCTCTCAGTTTTATCTAACTACTTAAAACAAACACCCGAAGCAGACGACCCTCAAGATGTAGAGAAGGAACAATGGTTCACCTCAAAAGAAATAACAGATGCAATGAGGAATAAAGCAAAGCTCTTCAGTGACTTTGCAGAGGCCAACAAGGAGAACAAGAACATAAAGTTCCTGACAGTGGGATTAACAAATGAGACACAGAAAGGTTCAAGCATCTACCTTCATGAAGGCGGCTTTCTGTCAATGAGAACTTTGAGCCGCCTTCAAAGCCTGAAACAGTAACAGCAAGTGACATAAAGCACAACAGTGTGACACTGAAGATTTCT